TAATCTCAGCACTTTGGGAGGCCAAGGTGAAATGATTGCTGGAGCCCAGGAAGTTCAGAACAGCCTGTACAACAAAAGTAAGAGCCCCATCTCTACAAAAAAAAAAAAATTAAAAAAATTAGCGAGGCATTACAGTCCACACCTTTAGTTCCAGCTACTCAGCAGACTAAAGTGGAAGGATCTTTTGAGCCCAAAAGGTCAAGGCTGTGGTGAGCTGTGATTATGCCACTGCACTCTACCTCGGATGACAGAGTGAAAGTCTTATTCAAAAGAAAAAGAAAGAAAGAGAGAGAGAGAGAGAGAGAGAGAGAGAGAGAGAGAGAGAGAGAAAGAGAAAGAGAAAGAGAAGGAAGGAAGGAAGGAAGAAAGAAAGAAACCCTGCAATCCCGTGCCTTTGGGAGGCTGAGCCCGTGGGTTTGAGTGGGCAGTGAGACCTCATCTCTACAATAAATCAAAAAATCAGCCAGGCATGGTAGCCCATGCCTGTAATTCCGGCTACTAGGTAGGCTGAGGCGGAAGGATCGCCAGAACCCGGCAGGTCGAAGCTACGGTGGCCGGGAGTGGCCACTGCACTCCAGTCTGGGCGACAGAGTGAGACTCCAACTCAAAAAAACAAAAAAAGAAAGAGAGAGAGGGAGGGAGGGAAGAAGGAAGGAAGAAAGAAAGAAAGGGTGTATATGTGTGACAACTGAAATGAGTGACTGAGCAAAAGTCTGAATCATTGAAGTTTATTAAGCCACTTACTTAAGGTCATACATTGGTTGTGGAGAAATATGAAGTCCTATTAGACCAGCAGCAATTGGGTAAGCATTTGTGGAAAAGACCCCAAAATAAAATCTGCAAACAAGACTTTAGGATAAAATCTGCAAACATTGCAAAAGGCAGAAAAATTGCTAATCATATTGGGAAACAACTAACCATCGTTTCATTGTTAAACATCTCCAGGAAACTATAATTATTTTTAGCGGTGTCAAGATGCTCACCTTAGCTTAGCAACCCTAACACATAAGCCCCTTAGCATAGCCCTATAAAACTTCCCTTTAGCCTCTGCCTCTTTGCAGACAGCAGACAGCCTCTATCTCTGCTGTTTCGCTGTCATGTTCATTGGGATGCCTTTTCCTTAAATAAATCTACCTTTCTTAATTAATAACTGTATCAGTGAATACTTTCACTGCCACAACTGCGGTTTCACCCAGTTGTATGTACAATATCTGTGTTTTTCCAAATAAATTTTCAGGAGGTTTTGTATGTATATGTTTCCTCAAAGGGGTGAAAGTATGTATTAAGAGGGACAGGTAGGCAGTCAGGCAAATGCAATATTTTATATAAGATAAGGTGAATATCCAAAGAAAGGGAGTAAAGGAAAAATCAATTATGCAGATATTTCTGAGTAGTTGAAGTAACAAGTTTTAACTTTGTTCTGTACCTGGAAAGATAAGCTTGTAATGATCTTATCTGTGTGGAATTGAACAGATTTTTATTTTTAGCAGCTAGACTTAAATTGCAGAGTTACAACTGACATATTCTTTTTTATGGGAGATCAGCAGATAATTTACTTAGGAATGATCTGTGGAGACAGTTCTCGCATAGATGCTTCAGGCCCTTTACCTTTCCCTGGGGATCTGACTGACTCATGTTAGTAACTGCTATTTATTTGGAAGAGAGTGTTGCAATTACCTTCTCTTTTGCATAAAAAGTTTGGAGGGGTCCTGAGATTTTTAAAATTTTCTTTAAAATACAACATGAATGAATGGAGATATTGTACTCAGTGAAATAAATCAGTCACCGAAGGGCAATACTGTGATTCCACTGTATGAATTCTCTAAAATAGTTAAACTCCTAGAAACAGAGCAGAATGGTGGTTTCCAGGGACTGCAGAAAGGAGGAAATGGGTATTTGCTATATACACAGGTATTAATTTCAGTTATATAAGACAAATGAGTTCTAAAGATCTGCTTTACAACATTGTGCCTATAATTTATAATACTGTATTGTACAGTTACAAATATGTTGAGAGGGTAGATTTATTCTTACAAGTTTAAACTTTTTTAGTCACCTTCAAAGTGATACCGGGTGGGGTATGGTGCAAAACTCATGGATTCTTTGGCTCAACCCTAAAATGAATTTAAAAGGTATTAATGAATTTAAAATTCATGAATTTTAGGGTGGCCAGCACAGTTTTAAGACAAAGTTTATTAGTGAGAACAGAGGAAAGGAAGGGCAGGCGAAAGTTTCATTCCGGAAAGGCTTGGCACAGGCAACTCTCTATTGAAAAAGAAAGACTACACTTTTGCTCTTAACTAAGAAACTAGATATATTTTCACAACAATTGATACACTAAAGAGGGTGGGATGGAGGTAATGGCCACTCTGCAGAGACGGACATCTCTCCTTTGCTTCTGATGGGAGGAGTGAGAGGTGGTCTTTTCCAGACCTCACTGTCTTCTGCAGAAGTCCTGCCAGACATTTCCAATTCACAATTTCATGACCTAAAAGGGATATTATCATTTCTGTAGCCTTTTGATTCCTACCCTTGGAATCACCTTGATGGAGTTTTCCTTTGGTAAGCTGAGGGGGTGCAGTGGACTGGGAGTCCACACTGAATTCACATTCTAGCCCACAAGGCCAGGTTCTTCAGACTTCCGATGTCTGGACACTTACTAAAACATGCCTATAAGAAATGTATCTATATATGTCTGACCTGTGCTACCTACTCCACCTCAAAAGTACTCTATTTGATGCAGTACATCTATTCGGGTGCTTTTCCTACTGTTCAAAACAGTTTTTGAACTTATCGGTTTTGATGCCTTTTAGTGCTTCTGCCATTTTTTGCTTCGCCTCTTCCATATAGGCAAAACGTATCCCTTTGAGGACTTTTTTCATCGAGGAAACAAAAAATTAGTTACTCAGGGAGAGATCAGGTGACTAGGGAGGCTGGGGCATGGGGTCATGCCATTAGTCAAAAACTGCTGAACATTCAGTGTGGTGTGGGCAGATATGCTAGTAAATCACCCACCATGAAATACATAAACTCCCTGAGAGAATCTCAAAAAAAAAAAAAAAAATGTCTGAAGTCACACACAGCTTTTCACAATAACACTAACTGGTACACTAATGCCAACAGGTTCGTTCCTAGAACACTTACCTAGTATGTGAAGCCTGTACTACAAGGGACACACACACACACACACACACACACACACACACAACCAGGAGTGGTGACTCATACCTGTAATCCCAGCACTTTGGGAGGCTGAGGCAAGTATATTGCTTGAATCCAGGAGTTCAAGATCAGTCTAGTAAACATAGCCAGACCTCATCTTTACAAAAAATAAAAACAATAGCTGGGCATTGTGGTGTGTTCCCATAGTCCGAGCTACTTAGGTGACTGAGGCGGGAGAATCACTTGAGCCCAGGAATTTAAGACTGTGGTGATCCATAGTTGTGTCATTTCACCCCAGCCTGGATAACAAAGTGAGACCCCCCAACTAAAAAAAAAAAAAAATTTGGTTACTAACTTGTGCCTGTTCTAGTCTCAACCTGTGAGCCCAGGAGAGTCTTTCTGGAGGCTAAATGCTGTGTTTCACATTACACACCAATATATCCTTTGTCTGCCACTTAAGGGAATGTAATAACAGGGTAATCTTCCAATACACACTTCTGTATGGGTGAATAAGGGTAGTGGCCTTCAGTGAAATAAAGCCATGAATATACAAGATAAAAATCTCATCTCACTTGTAAATCATTAATGAACATTAACCACTTACAAGTAGATTTGAGCTGTGACCTAAAACATTGCTGCACTCTATGTCTGTGTGTTTTCACCTACCTCAGTTTTTGTCTGCAGCTATTTGTTGATGTGTAGCAAAAACATCCTGGATGTTAAAATAATAGAATTGACTCATTCACTGACTAATCTAAAACATAATCAGTCCAAAATTATGAAGTGCTAGTCACCGAAATGCAGCCAGCAAAGTACTGGGAAAAAAAGAAGTGCCATAGTCTGAATATGTATGTCCCCCCAAACTTCTTATGTTAAAATCTTGACCCCTCAAGTAATGATGTTAAGAGGTGGGGACTTTATTTTATTTATTTATTTATTTTTGAGTTGGAGTCTCACTCTGCCGCCCAGACTGGAGTGCAGCGGCCACTCCTGGCCACCGTAGCCTCGACCTTCCAAGTAGCTGGAACTACAGGCGTGCGCTACCACACCTGGCTCATTTTGATTTTATTGTAGAGATGAGGTGAAAGGCACAGGGAACAACCAGAAGGACGTCTCCCAAGGTGGCAGCAACCCTATAGGGAACCTAACAAAGACAACAAAGGCCGTAAATTCCTGCCTCTCCCGCGCGCGTGAAACTTAAACTCATG